TAGCCGTGCCCTGACTTAGATCAGCCCAGAGGTTGTTTCAGGGTTCAATCTGTGAGTTAGCCATGCCCTGACTTAGATCAGCCCAGAGGTTGTTTCAGATTACTACAAAAGCTACTGCAGCCTTCTCAAAATACAATCCATCAAACGCCACAATTTTTGTCTTAGCAAATTAAAATTTGTTGTCATGAGCTGCTGACCTTATAACACATAACCAGATGGCTATGGGTTTTATTGATAACTATAACAAACATTAAGTCTTATAAGTTAAATGAACTATCACCTTCAGATTATCATTAGCACATTCTAGAACCTGCTTGACCAGTTTTGATACAATGTAGATATTTCTCTTTTTTCCTCCAACCGACCGAACCAGCAGCTGATCTGAAGGGAAGGACGCTTCTATTCCAAAATATTCCCTGATAAACAATACACATAAGTAAGAGTTAATTACCTAGAATGGAGGCAATAAGCCATATACATCCAAAGGGCTGCAGGCCAGAGGGATGTATAGGCTTATTGCCGATGTTCGAGGTAATTAAGTATTTTATTTATCAATTGAGAAGGTTTTCTATCAAATGTTGCTCATTATAAATGCGAAGTCTATATATAGTTATTAACCGGGTTAATAACTATATATTGAACTCGTATTTATAATGAGGGTTATAACAAAAATAGAGCCTTGTGAATAACAAAGAAAACCGTGTCAATTGATAAATAGTTATTATCATCAACTTACTGTTATCATGTCATGCTCACTCCCAAATCACCACTTGGAATGGCCAAAGAAGTGTTCAATATGGCCACCTTGGCTGAAATGTTATCCCATAGACAGAGCAGAAAAACGACAAGGTTGCTACTGTCGCAATTTTTTTCTTTCTCTCTCATTCATGCTAAAAAACATTTAGCGTTTCATTCGTGCCTCTTGTGCTTTAAACTTTTCACAAAATTCTGCTAACCTYGAGCAATTCTACTTCGAGGTATTAGCGAAAATGTTAGTTTTTGTGCTGATCAAAATATCATCTCTCCAAATTTTCAGGGYGTTATATCTCAAATAAGAATTCCTTAAATTTCCCCAAATTTTGGTGTTTTGTTGATCAGCCCCAAAAGAGCCTGTTTATGAAATATAAAGCTTATTAACGCATAAACGTYGAAAGTAGAACCCGTTTTTTTGCCCTGTCTATCCCATATTCATTTCATTTTTAAAACGAGAAAATCTTAATGCTCTGTCTCACAAACTGGGTGCTATGAAAACCCATAGTCTGCGTAGCAGCTCAAAAGGGATAGGAGATGGGGTTAAGGGGCTGTGGGGAAAGAAACAAGGGCCAAAGTCCCCCTCCCCCCTTCTCCCCCCAACTCATCAGTACTTTAGACTGGTTCTTACTTGATTGCCTGCCACTGTTCATCATTGTCGTCCAGTAAGATGAAAGGATCTTCTTTGAAACCAGGGTTTGTTTTCTGTTTCTTTCTTGGAGGCTTCAAACTTATTTTAAAAAAGATAAAATATAGGTTGTTAACAACTGTTATCCTGGGACAAATCATGGTTAAACGTCCTTTTTTCATGAGGGTAACACTCAATAGCCAGTGGCTAACAAATCTGTGGCCCTCATTCGGTGATTGAACTGGAATTTAGGAGTTGGTTTTTGTGCAGGGAGGAAAACCGGAGTACCCGGAAAACCCTTGAAGCACAGGAGAGAACCAACAAACAACTCTACTCATATACAACACTGAACCCGGCGGGATTTGAGCTCAAGTCGGATTGATGAGAGGCAACGCCACCCTCGTTCTCCCTCAGACAATAGGGAACAAATTACCAATCACCAAAACAGCTAAGAATCAGTCACTCAGGCATGAAACAAACAGGTAAAGGTATTATTTTTTGCTTTTGTTCCCAATGCTTTGCTCCACACATATCCCCTGACTATATTGTACAAAATAGCAGCAAAATAGCTGCAGTTAGACAATACATCTTTTGTTTTGTTTTACGGATATACAGTAAGGTGTGCGCTATCAGAGCTTCATTAATAGGGACTTCGGCTTGCCATAGATAAAGGTAAAGGTAATTTGTTTTCCTTCGATAATGTRGGGAGTGGTTGCCCAAATCTCCCGAACCAGGGGCTCATATGTTTAATGCGCTCGAAGGTGAGCTCTCTACCCCCTTTTACTATCAGTGCTCCTTTTTATGGGTATTTAAAGCTAATTAAAGCTACACAGAACAGAGAGAAGTCGAAACAGACGTGGAGTTCCTGAGGATCGAACTATGGACCTCTAGCTCTGAAGGCCGCGCACTAACCAACTGAGCTACACCTGCTCCTATAGATATATATAAGTCTCACATCCTCACGAAGTCTTAAGAATAAAATCAACACTTAATACCTTATGGGCTTTCCTTCATTGTCCAAATCTTGGTTTTCTTGTACAGCACCAGCATTGTTGGCACTTTGCTCAGTTGTGTCATTGTCGTCAGCATCATCGCCATCATTTTCTAATCCTTGTACTTCATCCACATCTTCTGATAAGTCACCTACAATATTATTGTCATCATCAACAGCATCTTCTGTCTGTGGTTTCACTTCTGATTCTTCTTGACCAGAGTCTGGCTCACTGCCTCCCTGCTTATTTCTAGGCTGAAAATTTTTTTTTCATTAACAGACTTTCACTATAGAGGTAAGCAGTGCACCCCCCTCTCACTGCAAGGGTCTCTAGTTTGATTCATAGAATCAGTGTATCTGTGAGTTAGCCACGCCCTGACTTAGATCAGTCCAGAGGGTGTTTTCAGGGTTCCATCTGTGAGTTAGCCATGCCCTGACTTAGATCAGCCCAGAGGTTGTTTCAAGGTTC